GGAAACATGAGGAAACATGAGGAAACATGAAGAAATGAGGAAACATGAGGAAACATGAAGAAATGAGGAAACATGAGGAAACATGAAGAAACATGAAGAAATGAGGAAACATGAGGAAACATGAAGAAATGAGGAAACATGAGGAAACATGAGGAAACATGAAGAAATGAGGAAACATGAGGAAAGATGAGGAGCTGCTGATGTAATCCATGTTTTTTCAGATAAAACTCAGTTTTGCTCACGTGTGCAGCTTTATCTGGACTCAGAGCCCCGGAGCCTTTGTCCTGTAAGGAGATGAGCTGAAACTTGATGTTCGGGTCGTTTATCTGATCGATGGGATATTTTCTGGACTCCTCCGACGCCTGGCTGTAGAACGAGCTCCAGATTTCTCCTTGTTCCRACTGCACAGAGGACYACCAGAGACTAAAAACCAGACTCATTGTTTAAAGGTCTGAAGGTTTCAGGGGAACCYACCAGTTTGTCGGAGTTCTCCTCGGTGATGTCCGTGTTGTAGGCCCAYGAGGCCAGAGAGTACTGGTACATCTTTGAGGTGGCGTCCCGGTCGAACTTCTCCAGGAAGTCCCGGGCCTCGGCCTCCAGGTCCGCGGCTGAAACGGAACAGGACACGGCTAAGAGGGTCAGAAGGATCCTGGCGGCCATGTTGGGCTCCATCCTGACAGTCGGAGCAACTGAGAGCCGAAGACCTGAAGAGGTTTAATAACCGGCGCCGCCGTGGCCTTTGGACCTGAGAGTCATAACTGAGGGTGGATGTGAGCGTTTTACAGATTATATGATGTTTCAGAGGACGTCACGAGGCTGACAGCCTGATCCTTTATCACTGAGCTAACAGCTGCTTTACACACAAAATACCTCAACAAGTCCAGTTATCTGCCTAAAACCAGACAAAATTCAGCCAAGTTTACATTATGAGCTAAACTGACTGCTAAAACTAGCTAAACATTTGATTAAAAACTAAACATAAGTAGCCAAAAGCTAATTTAATGCTGAATTGATTAAAATATTGGTTATGTGCTAAAAGCTCAAAACAGCAAAAAGGCTAGCCAACAAACAAAATAGGAAATGCTAACTAAAAGCTTAATGTCACAATAGATCAGCTAAAGAAGCACTGTGACAGCTAAAAGCTAAAAATAACAAAAGGCTAGCTTAAAGCTAAAAACAGCAGAATAAAGCAGGAAACATAAAGGCTAAAGAAGCACAATGGTAGCTAAAAGCTAAAATTAGCAAAAACTACATATTATTAACTGCAAAAGGCTAGCTAAAAGTATAAAAGGTAAGCAACAAGCTAAAAGTATCAAAAGGATAGCTAAACACTAAAAAGAGCAAAAAGTCAGCTGCATGCTAAAATGAGCTTCAACACACCAACATCCATAAGAAGCAAAACATCTTAAAGTAAAAAAAAAAGCACAATGTGAGGGATGATTAGTTTAGGATTCAAAAAAAATCTGATAATCGGCTTTTAAAAAGCTTTAATTTTTAAATAAAATGATAATTATCTGAATAAACAATGATAAATACGTAGATATTTGTTGGGCAGTTTGAGTAAAATCACTAAAAGTTAAATATAAATATGAGTGTCTGCTGAGGGATGAACGAAGGTTTGTTTTAAATCCTCATGTTTGGATTTTCTGAATAAAAACTTGTTTTGAAGAAAATATCAGAATTCAGCAGTGTTGTATAAAGTACCATAAAGTCATATGTGAGTAAAAGTATTTTACCAAAAAATTTATTTGGTAAAAGTTAAAGTCTCCTTTAGGA